AGATTTAGCAGTAATCAACAAAATTTACCAATGCGCAGAAATGATTAGATTAACTATGATATTAAAAAACAAGGAAGAGGGAGAATTTTTTACAACATGGAATACATGGTACAAATGGCTAAATGAAAAGGAAATAAAGATGTATAGTGAAAATGATTCAAGAAATATCATGGAATAACAGAAATAAGGATAAATGTATAGCTATGTATATATGTATAGTATAGCTATGTATATAGGTGTAGTAATGTAGTAACACAGAAAAACAAATAATGTATCACGACAATAACATAGATAAGAAATTAGTAATTAGATTTAAGATATTTTTGTAGTAAATTATTTCAATTAACACTAATAGAGATGCACACTGTTATGAAAACACTGTAAAATGTGAGAACGTGACTCTCTTTTTAAAATATTTTTTTCTTGAATAAAAACTTATTAAAAAAACAGAATAACAGAGTTGGAAGGAGCCTTGGAGCTCTTTTAGCCCTCCCTACTCAAACAGGAGACTCTACACCATTTCATACAAATTGTTGTCCAATCTCTTCTTAAAAACCTCCAGTGTTGGAACATCCACAACTTCTGGAGACAAGCAATTCAACTGGTGAATTGTTCTAATGATTGGGAAATTTCTCTGTAATTCTAGGTTGGTTCTTCCCTTGATTAATTTCCATCCAGTGCATCTTGTCCTGCCTTCAGGTGCTTTGGAGAATAGCTTGATTCGTTCTTCTTTGTGGCAGCCCCTTAGATGTTGGAACATTGTTATCAAGTCCTTCTTTTTGATCAACTAGACCAGGGGTCTCAAACTCAATTTACCTGGGGGCTGCTGGAGGCAGAGTCTGGGTGAGGCTGGGCCGCATAAGGGATTCCACAGTGGCACTGCAGACATCATTTCCACTCGGCTTCTACTTGTCAGCGGCTCCTGGTTTTGCCTTTCCCTTCCCAAGGCAACGCGGGACTGGAGCCGCGCGGAGTTGCGCTGGCGGTAGCAACTCCTGACAGCCCCAGCTGGACACCTGAGTGGAGCCTGGGCGGAACTGCCTGTTGCTGCTGCGGGCACTGCTGCAGGCATCTGGCTGCCCAAGTAAAGAACCGCACCAGCTCAGGGCAACTGTGAGGAGCAAGAGGGGAAGCCGGACCATTGGAGAAGCGGAGCAAGGCCAGAGATTAGTAGCTGCCTCTTTCGGCGCAGAAAGCTTCCCCCAACCAGCCGGCTGGTCTCCTCCTCCTCAGCCATGCAGAACAAACAGGCAGAGAAGGAGGAGAGCAGCTGGCCAGTTGGGGGAGGCTTCTTGTGCTGCAAAAGAGGTGGCTAATGATCTCCAGCTCCGCTATGCTTCTCCAACATCCGGTGCTGCCCTGTTCTATGTGCTGGCTGCTCGGACTTGCTGGGCCTGAATGTCAGCCATGATGAGGAACGGCGGGTGGGACTTCCTTCAGAGGTCCATTCCCCCCGCAGGCCGCACTAATATTATACTTTCATATCACGGTGGGGGCCACAGGATATCATCCTGCAGGCTGCAATTGGCCTGTGGGCTGCAAGTTTGAGACCCCTGAACTAGACATACCCAATTCCTGCATATCCTACTTTATATACAGTGGGAATTACAATCAACAATAAATTGTTTGAAAACAAATTTGGATTGATATTGGTTTCTTCAGTAGCTAATGAGGTATTCTCTTAAACAATTGTTCTTGGCTTGCATATTATACCAGTCAGAAATCTTCTTGTCAGTTTCTGATTTATTGTTTGTTCTGGTCATATGGATGAAAGGTTGAGATTATACCAAAGCTTACCATGGACTGTTTTCTGTTCATTCGTACAATGCTAATCCACGCAACATGCAAATGCAGCCAACATCATTCTTACTAAAGGTTTACAGAGCCAGAGCCAAAAGTAATTCTATTTTGAAATTGTGGTACATTCCGCATAACTGGTTAATTTGCTATTTCCTATAATTGGAATACATACATTTGGTTTTCAAAGCTAGTTCATTCCAAAGAATACTATAACGTTTGTGAACATTTTTCACACTAGAAAATATTTTACCATTGCACAACAAGGAAGCAATGTTACAAGTAGGAGAGTTAAGAAAGTATCTTACTCTGCTTGCAAAGCCAGGGCTCAACTGCACCTGAGCTTGTAAATAAGAACACTAGGAATACTGTCTAACAGGCTGAAGAATATATAATTGAATAATGAAGGAGATCTAGAAATTTTAAAAAAGAAAGCAGATAAGTGATTTTTGAGGGGTTGATTCTACCTACCCTCATTATCATCCTCCAGATTCTCAGGCAGTTTGGTTTTGCATTTCACGGGTGAAGGAGAGTGAGTTTTCTTCTCAGCTCCCTCTGCAAGTGCAAAAAAGGTCAGAAAGAGATATTCATTCTCAAAAGCTGAGGTTATAATGCTCAAAGTTGGATAATGATGAACATTATTACAATTATGAAATAGGAATGTGTAAGGTATTGGAAAAATAAATTGACTGCACCTCCATTTTGCTCCAGGAGAAAAATCACTATACTTTCAAGCTTTGTGAAGATTGATTTTTGCCTCCTGTGCTATTATCACAGTTAGGAAGAGCCCAAGGCTGAACCAGAATGCCATATTTCAAAAGATATTAAACTGCACATATCAATAATTATATTCTCTCTTACTTTTAATCTACATTATACCTATACCATTGGATTATTATATGTATTTTACAGTAATTACTTTATAAAGTATGGACTTTACTTGCTAAGCACTGTGAAACACATTCTGTCTTAACAGTATAATAGTACCGTCTGAATGCACAGAGTTTCAAAAACTTCAGCAGATTCTAGATGAGGGACAGTGACTTCAGTCTGGAGTATCGAATCAGTGTATGGGCTATAGTCTAACTATGCCTGAGTTTTAGTAAAACATTGATAAGAATAAAAGAAAACATTATTTTCTCAGCTGACCGTGAGAAATCAATAATCTTGGGCAGATTTGTAACTCATCAGAATTGAGTTATGTCAAACTGTGCTGGACACTAGAATAAAAGTGAAGATAATAAATATACTGTATAAATATTATAATAGATTAATGAACAATTAACACAAGATACACACCTGACTCTGATAGTACAAAATCTAGATAGATAGATGATAGATAGATTGACAGATAGATAGATGATACATAGATAGATAGACAGACAGACAGAAAGACGGATTGAAGATTACAACAAACCTAAAAAATGGATTAATGTTCTAGAAAAATGAAACATATATTATCCCTGTTACTTAAAATGTAGATAATATAAAATAATAACATGCTAGAGAATTCAATGCAATGTGTTGTAACCCTAAATGACTGTGATAAGATTAATGTTCAAATAAATAGGCATAGGATTACGCATTGGATTAAGAGAGAATAAAAAAAGGGTTAAGAGAGACAGAAATGGAGATGGAGATGGAGATGGAGAGAGCTGAAGAAAAATGGAGAGACAGAGAAAGGGAACACAGGTGGAAGAAAACCACAGGAGCCTCATAGTTAGTGGTTTTGCAAAATGCTGGCCTTATTAATATATAACAAAAGAAATGATAGAATATATGGAATCATCCTATGAGGTTACAAGTTGTTTCAGAAATTAAAAATCTACCCAGTGCAGTCATATATATTTCATATATAATACTGTATTAATAGATGCTTCCCAAATTTCTAACTTCAATACAGAGTGCACTTCATAAATAAACAAATTAAAGTAATCAAATTAAGGGAACTTTAATTCCAGAGTAACTCAATCCTCAATTAGGACTGATCTTACAGCAGTAGGTGCTTATTTTATGTATTTAGACTTAGAGTCTTTGACACAGCCTGGTCCTCACATTAAGCAGTCAGAAACTTGGCATCTCCTCTCTTTGGTGTTTTTTTTTTTTTAAGGGAATGGTCTTTATTCTTGGGTTCATGGATCCAAAGTGGGAGAATGGAAAAAGGAAATTTGTCTTCCCTATGAAATTCAACCAGGAAACTGGGCCACCTCAAGAAAGGATAAAGCCACAAAAGCCACAGTGGTAATGATGACCAAAGGAAGGTATGGCTTCATTGATAAGTGCTTTGATTGTTCACATTTAGATTATTGCTATAAGTTTTCTGGCAGCTTTCCCAGTTCCTCTTTGCTGCACCTCCTGTGTTATTCCCAACTTTTGCTGACATGCATACAAAGGAGTACAATACAAAAGACTTTACTCAGGTTGAGCACCAATAGACAGGGCATGGATGCAGATGCACACACAGTCTCAAGCAGTCCTGCATTCCTTGGCAAACTTACAGGCAAATTCCTAATAAGCAAAGTTCAAACCACCAGACAGAAGTGTTGCCAGGGTAGTGTAGTAGCATCATTCTTAGATCATTGGTGGGTCTGGGTTTAAAATAATAGTTTCCATGAATAGCAGTTCTGGTAATTGCAGCAGATTTTCCCAATGAGGGATTACTTGCTAGCAAACAGGGCCTCTCTCAGATGCAAGAAATAAACCAATAGGAACCCGTTTGCCTTGCAAGGAGCTACGCAGACCTTTGCTCAGCCCTCGGTGTCTTGGGAATGAAAGGATCAGACCCCTGTATCAGACCACTTATCTTCTGCTGTTTCCAGCTGCTCCTCAGGCTCTGCAGTCACATCAGTCTCTCTTTGCTAATCTCCCATGTAGGCACAGGGTTCTCTGAAGTGACATCCTCCTTGAAGATTCCTCAGAGTCAGAGCTGGCCCTGACACTGGTTTCCTGTTTGAATCGGAGCTCATTTCAACGACCTAGTTGTGTTCAGAGCCAACCAATCACAACCCCACCAGTATCCACTCTCGTTTCTTCTTACAGTCCTGAGGGTTCTTTTCATTCCTCTGAGCAGTGTCTTCTTTCAATTCTCAGGCTGCTGGAGACTTCTTCCTGTACTTTGGAATTGACTCTTTCCTTCCATTGCTCTCTCTGAAAATTTGACTAGTGCTTTTTCTTATTTTGACCAGAGGGTTAATGTGGCCCCTGATTTTTGACCAGTTGTTAATGTAGGGCCCGATGAGTTGTGAGGCCAGAATATTATACCATCCTTTCATTACACTTGATATTTTTATAGTTACTCTGTATAATTAATTATAGATAAATTACTAGTATTAATTAATGTGGGCATTCATTATAGATGTATGTGCACTTTTTAGTGTTGTTGTACAGCATTCCTTTAAAACTGAAAGTTGGTTTTATGGATTGGTTGTAAAACTAATTTAGCTGGATGGAAATTTGTAGCAATTGTTCTTTGTTCTTTTCTATATTGTGCCTTAACTACTAATTAATAATAACTTAGTATCCTATAACTTTTTAAAAATATATCAAACATAGATTTTGTAGTTTTGTGTAGGTTTGATTGTAACACTTCATTTCAATAATAATGAACAGGTCATTGATACACAGACACACACATACACACACAACACACACACATACACACAGCAAAATGGCAAATATTTTCCCTTATTTATGTTGCAGTTTCTGGAAAAATACTTTTGATTTTTATTTATAACTGGGACAAGATAGAGTTTTTTCCAAACAAAATGTTTAATACTCATATTGCTGTAAACTAAAGATATAAAAATTTACTCAGAACCACATAAAGAAATTCAGGGCAGATTAATACTGAAGTCTTACAATGATTTAAATATGAAACTATGCATTTTTACAGCAAGCCAGTATGAGGTTACAGTCTGAGATATACTGTACTTTCTTGAGAACAAGCCTCACTGATATCCAAAGGACATGTTTTTGAACACATATGCATAATATTGCATTGCAATATGAGATTATCTGCTGTATCATTATTTATTTTTAAATAGTCAAACAAAAAGGCACAAACTCTGCATGTCCAGTTTCTGTCATGCACTATTAAATCACATCATGTAGACTAGAGAAAATCTTACAAGGTGCATAATGTACAAAATCTTACTCTTCTAACAATGCAGCATGGCATAACCAGACAGAATATCCTTTAGATACCAAATTATTAAAGCCAATAGCTAGTTTTAACTTCATCTGCCTGTTGGTCTAAGCCAGATCAGCAAGATTCCATAAAAATTATACAATTGGAGACCATCACAATATATGCTTACAGCAGCTAGAAAACAAAAGACATAAAAAATAAATAAATACTACAGTTCTGATCCATTTAATTCAGTGGGAAATGTGTCACTGATATCCACAAAATTGGAGTTTTATTCAAGATTTACAATAATTGACTTTACTATACATAAATAGTGAAAATAACATATAACTATTATTTTACAATACTTTGCTCTTCATCCAACTAATTTTAACAACTTTCTGAACCCAGTGGCTGCTCTTGCAAATGGATTTATGATTATCATAAATGTCCTGCTGTTCATTTTAGAGAGGAAAATCTGGATGTTCAGACCATGTAGGTATAGTTTATGAAGGTAGTAAGATATGTGTCTTCCTGGGTGGCACAGAAAAGTAAAACAGAAGGCATTTATCACAATGCCTGTATGTGTTAATTCTGCCTTAGTATTCTTTCCTAACTATTTCAAGAGCTTCATAAAAATCTAACAAAGATATTTCCTCTTCAACTTACTCACTCATTGACTTCAAACAGCTCTGAATTCTGTCCTACGTGGGAATCTGAAATTTCTTCATAGCATCACAGATGTCTTTTAATTGGAACACTGCCATCTATTTGAAAGGTAGTTGCTTGAAAAATGGCCTAGAAATATGTACTTCTGGAACATCATATTTAGAGGCTATTAGGGAAAGATGAGTAGGGACTGCAGGAGAGCCGAGACAATAATTCATGAAGATGGACTATAACTACAGCTTCCATCTGCTAATGTCATGACCCACAAATGAAATTAACTGGAAGTGCATAAATGATAGGAAGTGGCTAATTGCAGTCACAACCTTAACTATTACTCCCTTGTCCCTTCAAAGACTAAGCAGAGAAGGTGCTCTTCCAAACTGAAGAACAGGGTGGCATTCAATACAGAACTCCTCTCTATTGAATTACAGAGTATATCATAGGTACATTACCTTTGGCAGTGCTATGATTAATGGTGAATCAAATTTCCCCAAATCTCATTCCAAAATACTTTATACAAATTCATCATTTCTCAGAAAAGAGATAATATACTAATTTATGTTGCTGCATTTTTACTAAGTTCGATCCATCTTCTTTTCTGCTGGTGAGAACATCCTCTGAGTGGACATGGATACAGAGCACTCCCATTGAGGTATAGAGCAAAGCGGGGAGCGGGAGCAACTTTTGCCGGTTTTCACTTCATGCCCCAGTTCTCAGTGCTGACTCCATCCCTCGTCTTGTCCCTCCCTCCCTTGGACCT